CCCTCCCCCCCATTTTTTTGTCTTCTCGGGTTTGTGACTTTACTTAAACAAGATCTTCCAGATAGTATTCACCAACGAGTATCGTGCTTCCCTCCCAGATTCTAGGTTCCCCCTACCTCCCTCTCCCAACACACAGTACGAAATGAATGTTACGACATTCCTCATCGGTTCTTAAAGAAGTACATTACCATTCTACCCCAGCTACAATACAAGAATCACTTTTCCCGTTACTGTTAGAGACAAGGGCGTGACTTGCGAGTGGGCGGGGTCTGGGAGATAGTCAAATGTAGAAAGAAACTAGGAACTTTACACGCGGTGACATTTTACCAACTCCAAAACGAGCATCGCCTTTCCTGTCACTTCAAGAGTTGAGGGCGTGACTTGCAACGGGGCGGGATCCAGCAGATGGTAAAATGTAAACCAAAAACTACACACGCGGTGACTTGCAGAAACTGTTGAACCACCTTATGGTTCCCTTTACACCCAGCGCCTTTCCAGTCCTCACCGTTCTCGAATGAGGATCCTGTCAGATCATCGTAAATCGATACTTTCAAGTCTTATGATAATCCCGAGATACCGTATCACCCCTTCTGATGCATGGGCCAGAATCTGGTGGGTGCGATGGTGGTCCTTCATGTCCCGGCTCCGACGGCTGGGAACGTCTGATGCCTCTCGACGCTCCTTGACACAACGGACGTAACACCTTGTGACAACTACGGTAGCGCCAACAATTTCACTGTCCCTTACATCTCCCCCTATCAAGCCCCAGTCCAAAAAACTACCCCTATTCCCACCTTTTCGTCACTTTGGGGAGCCCCAGACATACAGGCCGTTAAGAAGAACCACTGTAAACTGCTGCCACCCACCGTACCTCGGTACAGGGCAGCGCAGGGATGGCCTGATGACCAAGGTCAGGCTCAAGAATGATTTGAATCTGCCGCCTCGCGAGTCTGCGTCTCTGCCTGGACCGGCGGGTCAGCGTCCACTTTCAAGACGGGGATTCCCACGCCATTCCCCACCCTGAGTACAAAATCAAATTTATTAAGTTTGTTTATAAATGCTTCTACTATCCTTACCCGATGATTATCAGCTGCTATCATTTGATATTTTACTTCGGAAACTTATCAATCTGGGAACTTATCTTCGAAGTGTGTTTCATTTTCAGACTGTATTTCAGTAAACCACTCCATCTCTACATCCACTAACCGGGCCCTACAACTGGACTGCTTTGTTAGTGATGGACGTACAAGGCAGGGTAAGTTACGGGAATCTTTTTTCTCCCAAATAATCTCTTCCCAGGACTCTCTATTGTTCATATTTCCAGAGGACTACCAGAGCACTTTCAAATGTCAACGAGAATTTAGTGAAAAGAACAGCAGCTGGAAAGGATACCTTATTGACGAGAAGGCCAGCACTTAAGGATCAACGAAATGGAGCCAACATTGCGGTCAGTCAAGCCCGTTTTGACTTTACAGCCTTTTCTTCCAGTGTTCTAAATCTTCTTGTTCAGGCCGCTGATGCAGGAGCAAAGCCCATAGCGAGGGCTACTAGGTCAGTCACTTTGAAGAACAATGTACCAAAACCTCAGCAAAATCAACAGAAAAAGGTTGGCTGTTTATATATAGCCCGACGAGTGCCTTTTCCCAATCCTAAAGCTTTTCAGGAACGACTTCCAGATAAAATCCATCCAGAAGTTGTCGGTATCGATCGGGAAATCCAATACGTGGAGTATTGTGATCAGGTAGCTATTGTTTGGTGCCTCTAATGTTTCAGGAGTGAAGTTCTAGTCCTTAATTACAGATAGTATTCAGTAGCATCTAGAGCACGTGTTGTCTCCTCATCTTAGCGGTATGTTGTGGGATAAAGCACTTTTCCCAGACCAAGAATTTCTCCCATCCCGTATTCTCAAGATATGCCGTTTTGTTCGATAAAAAGAAGTTTCCCCTAGAACCAGCACTTTGCGATGTGTTTCCGGTTCCGCTTTGATTAGGCTCCACTTGATGGAACTTCTGTATCATCCAGAAGGGCTTGCGATCAACTCTATTCAGTCGATACAACGTCAACAAGTTGCCTATTAGAAGTTCACAAAAGATTACGGAGTTTTGGGATTCCGTACCGAAATCTCGATGGCATAAAAAGGTGATAAGGTCTGAAGGCAATAACTGATTGTTTCTCGAGTAGATTTACATAAGTTTAGGTGACGAGAACACCAATTGTACTGGCGGGCGCGTGAGATCTGATTTCATAAGTAAAGAGCGAATGGATCACAATTCCGGCCTAGTCCACCTCAACTCTCCATCGTTCACTATGCTGTTGAACAGCAGAAAAGTTCGAGGCAATCTTTATCATGTCCATCAAGTGCATCGATTGTGGGCACGTTGGCTTCATAAAAGTGCTCCCAGAGATCACCGGTGCGCCTTCTGTCCGGCGTCTGACTGACCGACCGACCGACAGTGATGCTAGCTACTCGTTGACAACGCTGACGCGTGATCCATCGGCTTCCAGTGTTGTCAAACATAGCCACAAACACCGTCGGTTGGTCGGTCGGTGGACGCTCGGTCGTAAGGCACACCGGTGAACTCTGAAAGCAGCCAAATCTGTGATTGTTTGAGTAGGTTATTCCGAAACATAAACCTCCAGGATTCCCAGAATGGTAGAGTTTTCTTGCTTTAGTCGTTCTCTCTCTTTGCCCCTGCAACGATAGCGGTGTTTGAAAGGAGCTAGAAGAGTATAAGACTTGGTTCCTGCTCCACTAATCCTGTAATTGCGAGGGATATTCCCTTCATCTCAACTTACGTAGAACAGTAAAGCAGTCTACAAGGTGTTAAGACTTGAAACTACGGCAATTCCTCATATGGGTTCCCGAAGATTATCTTTGAACATTTCTTTTCCCTAAGTCCTGGTACAATAGATAAGAGCGTGAGATATTCGTGAAGTCGTGATTTCCTTAGCTGCTTGCTACGGCACATTTGAATTTCCGATAATGAGAGCTGCTCCTAAAGTACACTTTTTTCTTCAAAAGTGTTATCATTAGTTGATGGTCTCCAAAACTGACACTATGTCCTGCTTTTCTTGAAAACCCAGTAAACAAGGGACTAATTTCAAAGAACATGGTCCGCTATAGGGTTGCAGTTACTGAGCTGTCGTTTTAGGTGTACATATATCTTTTGAATCGAGAGAAAATGTGTTTGGTTGAAGAAGACTTCATGGCACAATCACCAGCTACACCAAAAATGCGTGGAATACTAGTCGACTGGCTGATACAGGTAGGCAGTATCTGTCATTGACTTCTTATTCATAATTATAAGCTTTATATTTGTTTGCATATTTATTGATGCTCCAGGTCCATACACGTTTCCACCTCTTGCCGGAAACGCTCCATCTCACTATCTATCTCCTTGACATAATGCTATCAAGAACAAAAGTTGATAAGGGCGAACTACAACTGGTTGGAGTTGCAGCCATGTGAGTTTCATAGGTATCAACGGGACAAGGCTTTTGATTTCTATTCCATATTCTACCATGGTTTTAGGTTGGTTGCGTCTAAATATGAGGAGATGTACGCACCGGACATCCATGATTTCGAGTATATAACGGACAATGCGTACAGTAAAAAACAAATTTTGAAAATGGAAGCAAAGATCCTTATAGCGACCAAGTCAGTTTGAATGACTAAAGCACTTTTCTTTGCTCTACTTCCTATCGATCCTTTTCAGTTTCGATCTTTCACGTCCACACTCATTAACATTCTTACGATGGTACAGCAAGGAAATGAAATTTGGAGTGCGGATGCATCACATGGCCAAATTTCTGATCGAGGTCTGTCCTTTACCTACTTTTATGGCATTGGTTGATATGCAAGAAACTCATCTAGTCGGATTAATGACGAGCCCTCAAAGTTCTTTTTCGTGAAATAGGACAGCAGGAAATTCTGCACAGTTCTAGATTCTGGCTAACCCATATCCTCGATATTCCCAGTTTTTTGTTAGAGCAGATCGAGAGAAATCGGTATGGATAATGATTTTTAGCTTTGTCCAGGAGTACTTGTGCAGGAGTGTTCAGGGTGCTTACACCTTTGGGACTAGTATTCGGTGAATAAGTTCAGTCGCATAGAGACTTTATAATGGTCTTTGTTGTTCCACTTATAACGATTAGTAAAAACAAATGTTGTGAGACGTCCACAAAGCAAAGTCCCGTAGGTCAGAAGAGGAAGGAATGGAATGAATATCTACACCTAGGCCTAGGCAAGGGCACCGAACAATTTTTGAAGTTCTTTTATAGGCGAGTGGAACGAGGTGGCTGGGAAATGAAACTGGACAGTCACAGTTCATTCTTGAAGAAAATCAAACTTTTATTCGCGGACTAAGTTACCGCTTTGAGTAGGGTTTCGTTTTGGAATGCTCTAGTGATCTTCTGAACGGTTTTTGTCCTATTTCTTCTTACCATTACTCATACCAGCAAGTCCAGCAAAAATTTAAAAATTCCTTTTGGGATTCCTACTGTCCTGTATGCAGGCCTTTACCTCCTTGTTGCATTCAGAGGAAGCGCTTGTAAACTTTCACAATTTCCAATGTTGATTTGAAATATCATCGTTGTTTAGATGGCTTTTCTGGACTGCTCTTTGTCTTCGATCTTGCCGTCGCGCATCGCTTGCGCAGCCACATACATTGCTTCAAAATTGTGCGATACGCCCTACGATAGCGAAACAATGAGGTGAAATAATGTGATAACATGTGATATTGGTCAACTCTTCAATATTATGTTGTACATGATGTGTACCTTGAACGTCTATTGAAGTGGTAAGCTTTGTTTAAACATAAGGATTCAGGAAACTGACGGGTATCACGTTTCGGGAGACCGAAGAGCTGGTGACCATGTTTGCGAAGGTGATTCTGAGGCTACATTCATTACCAAAGCTGGTCGCTGTGCGCGAAAAGTATTCTTCGGCTAAGGTATTGGCCGTCTCACAGCTTTATGATAGCGATATCAAAATGCTTACTGAACTTTCATCTTGAACCTTCATTATCGTTGTTGTTAAACCACCTCACTTCGCAAGTATAACTTGTCAACCTTATATGTTGCACCTCTGAGCACAAGTGAAGAATTCACCATTTACATGGTGCTCACATTCTCAGCAAACGTGTATTATGTATTTAAGTGCCCAGGTTGCGCCGCTCTATATAGAATATTGGACTATTCCCGACCCAGAATGTATAAAAAAGTGGTCGCTACTGATCGTAGGCACGTCTATTTGTTGGTTTTGTCTTTCTAATGTATTTGCCAAATCTGGATTTCACAGCGTTGCGAACTGCCGCCATTTCTGTGTTATATTTTTATTAGTTCATATGTTCACCTCCAGTTTATAATTAGGCTATACCTCATAACGTATTGGAAAACGCTCACCGAGGCTCTATTGATTCCTTGAGCACTGATTCTCTTTCAAATAAAATCTTCTGTTCGTCCGCCTCAATTGTAGTGCAGTTCGTCATTATCGAAAGTACTGGGAACATAGAGTATCAAACATTTTGCGAATAAGAGCTTTCAATAGATATGGATTCTGTGGCTCAGTACATGGGCAGGTGGATGGAGGTGGAACTAACTGATGGGAGGCTTATTCGCGGTCAAATGATGTGCACCGATAGACGACCTAATTTCATACTTGGCAGGTACAGAGTGTGGATGTATGGAAACACGTGGTATTCTCTATAAACAGGGATGACAGTAATTCCCACGTTCGGTCTTCTCGAGACCTGGGCATGTCACATAATATTTCACAATGCTTTGCCGTACAGGTTTGTATTGATGGAACCGCTTTTTAGGTCGACGTTTAGGCCAACTCGTCGTCGTGGAGGTCCTTGAAGACGACGAATTAGTCGAAAAGTCGACCTAATAAACGGTTCCATCATAACAAACCTGTACGGCGGAGCATTGTGAAATATCAGGGATGACAGTTGTAACAGGCTTATAGTTCTCAGAGGTCAGCTGTGAATTGAGGTCCTAGCACATAGTTAGGACATCAACTCGTTACCTAATTTTCGTCAAGAATAAAAGCAATCACTTGGGTGTATAATTGTGGGTCGCATGTGATCTGCTTGGGAAACGGAATTGCCATCTTAAGGTAATCTCATGCAAAACAAATGTTTGCCTTTTTCTTTTTTTTTTGTTAGTTGACTTTTTACCGGCCGTCACTCAACCCTTAACGCTAAACGAGCTACATCTTCAGACAAACTGTCCCACGAACACAATGAATGCTCGTTTTTTTAGCGCCGCACACTGGACTTTATAGAACCCTAATTCGTATAATCACTATTTCCTTAATTATTAGGCGAATTCAATTGCGGAAATTGGTGAACAGTGGTAATCTGGACTCCATGGGATACTATTTCCGGCAATATTTCCGAATGTGGTACATTTGCCTTATCGTTTTCTAGCACTCGTCCGAGGTTATCTATTCATTGCTCCCATAGGCAGCATGAAGGTGGGGAGAACTAACCAGGAAACTCAACTTTTCATGGAACTAAAAAATACCCAAATACCACGATTGAATTTTGAATGCTGTTCACGACAACGGGAGTCAAACTGTCTAAGTGAATTTTATAATGTTTTTATGAGCGCCTGAAGATAGCACCAATTTGAGGTGCGTGTTTACAACACCGACATATTGTTGAGGGGTTATGTGGCGTGGGGTTATGATTCCTAGCTCTGAACGAAGATGTCTGTTTGCGTCAAACTTCCCAATCTTTGCGCAGCATACCTTCTTTCCAATGAAGGTCTACAGGGTGACCCTTTTGAAGTGTGACGCAGAAAACCAGCATCAAAATTATACAAATCAAACCAAATAGGAAACATTTTCTCCTATACATTCATAACAAAATTGTAAACAACATCTCACATCTCGCATGCAGAATGACCATATTTCGCTTTAATGCAAGTATCCAACCTCTTTCGGAAGTTTTCCAGAATGCGCGCAATCACTTTCATCCCACGATTCTACAAGAGAGCTTATTTACAGGGAGTCCAAGGACCTGTTTATGAAAGAGCAGGCTTTTTGCTCCAGAATCGTTCGTACAGCAAAATCCAAAGGATTGAGATCGGGGAATTTGAAGGTCAAACCTGCTTCGCCCCAAAAACCTGGAAGTGTGGGTTCTCTACATTAGAGCGTCTTCTTTGTGCTGTGGGCTAGTGCCCGACCCTACGAAAGGTTCAGCTGACGTTTATCGCGATCCTTTCCGCCCAAGGGATTACCGCATCCTCCAGCCCAGAAGCCCATAAGTTGATTTTTTTATTGCCCGTCACACTTCATGTGGGTCACCCTGTATATCTTTTTTATCTCTTTCTCTGAGCTGACAGCAGGTCCAAAAAAGGTTCTATTTTGCTTTCTGAGAAAAAGGAGTAGTGTTTCTGTTCCGACTACACCTTAAAGCACAAATTTAGCTGTCAGAGCGGACACAAGGTGTTTATGACTAAAGGGCTTATGAGAAGCTGAATTAGAAGCAGCGAATGCACCTTGGTGGATATTTGTGATCCTTTTTGACGTGTAGTTGAAGCATTATGTAAGCTCTACTTGAAGGTGTGTAGCGCACTTTGTCATTCCGGATAACACGATTCAGCTTTTGATTACAGAATGTGGTATAGTTTACAGTAAGTTCACAATTCTCATGCGATCACTGATACCTTTGAACACTCCCATTTTAATCTAGTGAAAAATGTTTGAAGTGGATGAGGACCCTCGCATTGGCAAGCATTGAAACTCAAATGTGTTTCCTAGAGAAAACATACCCATCAGTACAATGAGCGGTGGGTAGTACGCTCACGAATTCAACCATGTTGTGTTATCCGTACGTTTTTGTATTCTCGCATATGCGCATGTCCACTGTCGAAGATATAACAGAGCCATACAATTCATTTAGTACGCACATGTGGAGAGCCGGAAATCAGATGTCCGAAATAAGGTGCCACTTGAAAGGTTGCCAAGGGCTTTTGTGAAGCTTTTATCAGTAGGGAGTTTGTTGTAACAAACATTGACAGTGTCAGGAACACACATCCTTCGCCTGATGAGCATGTCACTGTCAGCACGCCACGCTCGCTGTCGATGCTTCAACTGCGCATTTTCAACTAACACTGTCCAAGAAAAATTAGAGCGCTCATAACTTTTTTGCGAGTACCAATTAGCAGTTACACTCAACACATTTTTCCAAACTCGATCGTTATCCTAAGTTCTTTCTTTCCAAATTTTTTTTAAGATGTTGAGTTTTTTAAAGATGTCTTACTCAGTTTGCATTTGCTTAATACCAGTATGCGCTTGATTGTGTTGGCCTACAAATTTGCCTGTATAACTGCTTGAAGTTCATTATCAATGCTTTACCTACAGATAGATTAGAGCTGGATTAGCCTGCGATTTTTCGCGACTCTCTCAAACCTTTACAATCATTAGCAATACTAGTACATACACTACTTCAGTACACTTCCCAGAGATGAATTTAAAGTAAACAGAAGGAATGGTATGTTGGCTAATTCTTCTGTGACAAACTACCGTAGCGTTGCACGTTTGGCGCTTCAATTTTTAGAATCTAATTACAATTAAAAGACTGAACTGTTAATTTTTAAAAACCACTAAGAACAGCAGAAATTACAACTAGCCTAAGAACTAACGAGCAACTGTTAACTGAAAAGCTCTCAAGAGTGGCAAACCCAAGGCCGGAGTTTTTCCTTAACTTGGCATCCTTGTGAGACTTTCGCATCGGTACTGCGGGTAAAAACAACAATCAACAAGAACAGCAAGTCAAAACCTAGAAGTCAGTTAAAAACACTACCAGAAACCAGGGCAAAGTGAAAGTAAATCAGTTTCATGGTCGGATATGTTATACATGAAAAACCTTTCAGATCGGAAGAAAGATGGTCAGGTGAAACGGGTGAGCCAAGAGCGATCGGACTCGCAATGGTGGGGCGACAGCATGTGGTCCGACTCAGCCTCTTGCCTACTCCTCCTCAGCCTTCAAACAGCGACTCATCGTTTACGTAAACTCTTGCTCAGTTTTATGAGTTTATACAGATGTACATTTCACAACAAATATTGGACTCCAATGTGATTGACTACTTGATGACTGATTAGTTGATTAGTTCAACAACTATTTGAGAACAATAAATACACAGCATGTTGACAGTGCCACACGCATGGACCTTGCTCTGTCTACAACTTCGTCTGAAGCAAAAATAGTCTATACCCATGCGTCTACAAACTATTTTGCCAGAAAACTTCGAATGTGGGTAAACAATGAGGCCTTGTTCTTTTAAACTTTAGACTCATGAAGAACGAGCCTTTGTGATAACAAAAACAACTACCTCTACCGTCTTTTTGAATACTAATTTTCATAAATCTCAGCTAAATTATTATCATTGTAGTAACGAAAATGCTGACGAGTAAACGAGCCGTGCAGTAATCTAGCTATGAGTAATGTCTTGAATATTTGGTACGGCGTGGCATACTCAAAAATACATCCACGCCTAGATCCCCCTTAAGCTATTCAAAAAGTTCTGCGATGCATCCTATAAGCGCTGGGGTTAAAAGTACAGTTCGCGATGTAATTGGTTTCTAGAATCTCTTTTTGGCATGACCGTGACCCTAAGAAACCGCACAAAGGACACTGTCGGTTGGAAAAAAGGTCTATGGGACGTAATAATGGTCTCGGGACGTATACACTCAAAAATGGATGAGTTTTTATGGCGCTGTAGAGGTTACAGAGGTTTCACCGGTTACACCCGGATGCTTACCTTGCATGCAAACAGATTACTGTAGCCAGCTGTATGCAATGGCCCCACACTTGGATAGCTCGTCCAAACACCCTTCCATGCAACTTTTGTCGTCTCATTCTCGTGCAAGTCGTAACCTCTACTTTTTAGAACCTTCTTTCCTCTATATACGTCGATTTTCGTGTTTTCTTCGCCACTGAGATAAGGTTGACTTATAATGAAACATGTCCTCCGCGGTATTTGTGTCTGTCACTCGGGGGGCNCGCGCGCAGCATCGTTTCAGTACCTTTCTGTTGAGATGGACCAAATAAATTTGCAGTAGTCCGGCTTCACCATGAATAGAGCAAATCTTTTTACAATGGCAAAAAAGCTCCTTCGAGATTGAGAGTTCACCCCATAGGTCAACAACTTACTTGTCAAACGTTCAAAATAAGGATACCTTCGAATTTTTTTTATCGTAGTAAACTCAATCCATCTGTAAAGGTGCATAGTTGGTCATTTCTTCATTTATTCTACTTATAAGTCCTTATTTCTTCCCGCGTTTTGTCCGATGACCTCATTATATTGACGCGTGAATCGCACCACACCCCTGTCACTCAGGTCATACTGGAAATGCGACTAAAAAGGTCATACTTCATGCAGTGGTGAATTATGCTTTGAAGTGGTTCCAATTCACCACTGGACAAACCATGAATTCTTTGTACAAAATCAAAAATTAAGTATGAATTGACCTCAAAATCTATCATTTTCATATTTATTATTATGTAACGAATGTCTCTATTACAACATATCTCTTCATATCATTCATTCATATAATATATTTCGAGCCAGTAAAACTAACTGGTCAAAAAATTGAAAATACCCCTTCCATGACATAAGCATAAGAGGAAAACCTCGCGTCGTCCACAGGCCCGTCAACAGATGATAAGTAACAGTAGATTAAATGAGCCCTAAGTAGATAGCAAAGATTTGATTGATATGCCCTAGAAAGACTTCTCGAAAATTGAATAGACTTGCTTGTATTCATGAATGACGTTGAGTTATTTGGTCTCAAGCTTTAACAACTTCAAATTGACTGCAATTTCTGATCGCCGAAGACAGAAACGAAGGGATCTGCACTGACGTTTGCGCACGAAAATGGCATGCAATGCACTCATAAAGGTGATGATTAGTATAATTAAATTCTCTTCAATTCCTCTTTCAATAATATTAAATTTATAATTTACGAATCATCAGTAATGCGATGAAAAGAAATCGTTAGCGAAGCCTTCTACTACCCGTAGCTGGTGTCACGACTATACTAGGTCCACACAGACCCGTTACATTATCCCAGCCATACGCCTGTATCACCTCAGCCAACGCAACTTCTTCGGTTTTCCAGGAGAGAGAGCCATTCAATTGCAGCGGGATGAAATCCATTTTTGGAGTCTGGAAACCAGTGTTGAATGACCTGGACTGGTGGGCTATTGATCTGTGTGGAAGTCGAATTTTTCCCCTCCTTCAGGGCACAGTTCATGGTGAGACTATATATGACAAGTTATGAAGGGGTTCAAAAATAGATGCGCCGTTAACAAATTGTGCTCCAATGACAAACAATAGACATACACACATACATGACATACAACAATAGTACCGGTTGACTATAAGGTAGTACGCTACTAGTTGCGGGAGAGCGGCGTCTCTCTCACCGCGCGCGAAGGAATGTAGAAGAATGCAGCAACAAGTAAGAAATACAGGAAGAAATCAACTAACAGTAGAATCCTGCTGAGTAGTAATCGCACAGCGATTGAGCTGTGTGGCGAGCGCTAGAACCGATATAACGAGGCAAAAGTTCCGCGACAGCCGTGTGCGGCGAATCGATTACACGAAACCGTTCCTACTGCCCGTCTCCCTCGCAAGTCTATTGCCTGCTGCGCTCTCTTACAGAGCCAGTGCAGGAAGATACGTGAGGACGCAGACGAGCAGGGAATTCTCCAGATGTCTCTAGAAATCCTGAAGAGTTTTTGCCAGGGGAAAATGGAGGGGAGTTTTGAGAAATTATTTCACCAAGTTTCAAGTCTAACTGCTTCACAGGCTGCTCCTCCCTAAAGATCCTCGAAAGTAGAACTTCCACAACTACAAAATGTACAAAACCAATTTCACCATGAACTATGCCCTTGATTGTTAATTCTTTAGTTTTCAATCAGGTCAATCGTTAGCGAAAGCTTTCTACTACCCGTATTTGATTAGTTCAGAATTAGATCCACACAGACCCATTAGATCATCCTAACCAATCGCTTGCATCAGTTCATTCAAAGACAATTCTTTGTTCTCCCAGCATAAAGAGCCATTCTTCTGCCGTTCAATGAATTCCATTTTCGGAACCTGTAAATAAAAGTTCAGTGGAACAAACGTGCTGTAAGATTGTACAGTACCTCACTCATCGTGTTAAGGGTAGATTTTCCGAGAATGATAATTCGAGGTATACCGATTTCTTGAAGAGCGTTGATTCGTTTACCAACGTTTTCTTCGACACGATCATCTAGTAGGATTCCTCCTTTTAATTGGCGATCCAATGTCGTAAGCGTCATATCAGTTATCACATTGTGTATCAACGGCTGAAAAGTGGAATTGTTCGACATTTTACCGAAGTGTGTTAGGAATATGCGACCATATGTGTCACGGCCGTATGAAAGAACAAGATAAAGGGCACCTGCGCAATGTCCTACTATCAGGAACTATAGCTCAATGGCTTCAATATATCACCCCTAGTTTGATCGATACTGTTTCCAAACATGAGCAGTAAGTAGTTCTATCATGGTCATGTTAGGGCATAGAGGCACGACGTCACTTACTTCGTAGCGCCGTTATCACAACCATTAGAGAAGCAAACATGAGTTATCCCTTACTCGTATCAAGGTCAGGTGCTTTTCATTAGCACTAATGAAATGCCCTTACAGGGGTGACTTGGGAATGAAAAAAAAACTTCAAAACTTACTAAAAACGAATTACGCTTTTGGAAAAACGGGTTTCCAGTCGCAAGAGTTTAATGAGGAACTTTATTATGAAATACATTCTTTCACCGTTAGGTAGATTTTAACTTCTGTATGTTCTGAATTTGCGGCTGCTCAGGAGCACAGGACTAGGAATTCCCTGGACCTGAACCGACTCAATACGTCTAGAAAAACACACCTTCGTGACAATAACAGCAGCTGAAAACGGAGCAATGACCGGAGGCAAACGAATACTCTCGCCTTCATCTGATAGCAGGGAAACAACAGCTGGAAGAAGCCTAAACCATGAATATAGAGACGAGTTCTATCTGTACTGCACCAGAAGTTAAACATTCTATTACCTACTTATTCCTATACCAAAACAGCACATTTCCAAAGGGGTTTTATTATTATTGAGAGCACTGATTGCTTGAGAGTACTTAGTTCCTGAAAACTACAAACAGGATACACAACATACAGCACAAAATACAACTACTCGTAACTGTTATAGCTTCTGATGCCTTTCGAGAGGAAACGCGCTGCCGGTTTCCATCAAAAAACATTTCTATGTATTCGATCGTATGCGCCGAGGAACTGAATATCTCGAATAAAGCAAACATGCTTCAATTCAAGTGGCACTCCTGTAGCATGAAAGTATGCCAGAGGTCAACCGCCGGATAAACCTTACAATTGATTTCGCTCATTACCTCCAGAATGGGCATCTGAACATTGGCCCCTTTATCGGAAGGTAACAATCGCACAATGCGAAAGGATGCGGACATGGGCGTCATTATTTCAATAGAGTATAATATGGAAGCCGGTAGATAAAGTGAGCATTAAAGTAGGCTGAGCCAGAGTTGAAAATCAATAACTCTTGTTGAAAAAAGTTCAACCCCCAGCAGATCGGTAGGGCATGACTGTGGAAGGACTCAAATCCAAATCCGACAATATATATCAAGGACATTCAAGACTGTGTATATGATCGTAACTTACAACTTCGCTTCCTTTGGACCCAGGTTTATGGTCTCCAACTTTAAAAGGGTATTTCAAATGTGATCGTAGTAACCTGTTGTAACATCCGCCGATACAGACCAGTCGATACCGGTAAGTACCGACTCGTTGCGTAATCTACCGTTTACTTACGTAGTGTGTTCAAAGTTCATAAAAGTAAAAAGGATGATAGCAAGTGCATTGACAGATCACGGTCGATACCAATCAGTTTTTTCGAGCCGAAAATGGACAGATGAGTAAGTCATTAGCCGGATATCACGGATCTGGTATAGACGGCAGGGTTTAGCATATTCGGGTATGTGAAATTGCAGGAATGCATTCAGCCTACATAAGACGGATGCTCAGGCTCTACGATGAATTCACAGGGATAAGGAAAAGGATGACGAACAGTTACGCGATCGTGTTTGGGAAGCTGAAGACAAGGGGGAAGGTGGCAACGTTTAGGATGCGAGTGAAATGTGAACACCGGGTAATAAAGCATTAAAAGGGTTCTCCAAAGGCGTTCAATACAAGCTGCGTGAAGCCGTGGAAGACAGGTGAACGTATAGACGCAAAACTTTTACGTAGTTTACCCTTGTAGAAATGAAACCGGGCAGATGAAAAAGCAGAAGGGCAATTCGAGGTAAACCTGATGGGACATAGAAACTGTGGAGAACGCAAAAGGACTACCAAGGGTGAGCTCATGAAAGGCTCGAAGCCCTCATCAAACTTAGTAACAATTTCAACTGCGGTACCAATAAAAGCAAAGAGTAAATACCTAGTTGAAATGTGTGTGCAATTTCAATAGTCGAGAACGAGCTCATAGAATTTTGATCGCCACACCCGCATTCGTATTGACCATCTTCTCTTTTGCTACCACATCCGCAGCTGCAAACAATGAAGGATTCCGTCGGAGAGGATATATAAAATCACCTGATCAAGAACGTTTACTCCTGCAAATACTTACTTAGAGCAAAAGTGTATTCCGTCCTCATCCAAGGGATTTTTCAAATGATATTCGTGGGAACAACTACCACCATGGGCTCCAGGTGCGGCTGGAACCTGGAAGGAGAAAATAGCTAATGAATAATGTTTAGAATCTTCACAATTTTTGCGGTAGCTCACCTTATACGTCTCTAATCCGAGAATGTCCCTGAAAATACGGTCGTAAACACTGCAAACCATCTCATATGTTCGATTAGAGCCCTCCTTGTCTATGTCGAAAGAGTAAAGGTCTTTCATCAGAAACTGACGCGCTCGCAATAATCCGAATCTGAAACTCTATTCAGATGACTGGAGGAAGTTTAAGATAGAAGCGATGAAAGGACTAACCTGGGGTTCATTTCATCTCTGAATTTTTCAGTAGTCTGATAGAGAAGAAGTGGGAACATCCTATTCTTTAGCGGAAGCAATTGGGCCACCAACTGCGTGCACATCTCTTCAGCGGTAGGCTTAAAATAGATAAGTACGCACTGTTGATGCAAAGGAGACTTATTCACCTGCAAGCACCACTCCATTCCTAATCGATCTTTGGTGCGAAGAAGTTCTGAACCCATAGTGTCCCATCGTGAAGCCTTTTCCCACAAGGGACGAGAACCAAGAATTGGCATCGCAACCTTCATCGCTCCAATTGACTCCATTTCAGCATCAATCAATCGCGCCAACTTTTCGATAACACGTTGTCCAAGCGGGAGCAAGCTGCAAAGTGGAGTCTTTGCCAATGTCTGAACAAGCAAATAGTAGCTATTCCCCATCAAGCCCGAAAGAGCTCTGAACCAAGAATCTCCTTCAACATGCGTACAATCCTTAGTGAGAGCAAAGAATGGTGATTCCCATGGGACACTCAGAGTGGTCTTGAATGAATCATCGCGCAAGTTAACAATCAATTCTGCGGATTGGAACTTATAGTGATGCTTCACAACCGTCTAAGATAGCGTAACTGGAACTTAGCTACAACTTTTACCCAAAAGATCGGTTACAAGTAATAACTTCACCTACAAAAACCTCTCTAAAAGAGCTTGGAAGAAATAAATGATATGTTCTTTTATTTAAAGAAGGAAAGAAATGCTGAGTATACAACATGAAACTGTTCTTAAGTAGTTACCTGTACAATCCAGTTCCAACTTGGTGAATATAACCATGACTGAGAAGAAGCCGATGAGCAATGCTTTTCGTGGGACCGGGCGAGCTCCCTTTGAGGATATATTTGGAAGCTTTGAAGACGACCATCCCTTAACAAACCATATTTATTTATCTCAACTTCCAAAATGGACTTATGAGTGATTTCCTACGAGAACGCACACAATCAATTATGACGAGGACATTGATCAAAGGCTCCTATTTTCGACATCATGGATAACTCTTATTGAGGTGAAGCTGCCGGGGCAGGCACGCCTGTTAAGTCCCCATTCTAGCTCGAGCTTAATATTACATCTACAAAGGCCATACAGCAGCTTAGAGATGAACAACATTGAAGAGAAGTTGGAAGGAAGAAATTGCACTATGAGTAGCCATGGAGCGCAAAGTCGCAACGGAGCGTGTAACTTTCACGTTGATGCAAATTTTGTCCTTTTACGTTATTTATAGTGATTTTCACTGCAAAACTGTTGATCCGTATCTCTCCTTTAAAATTTTGCCCTTTATCTGATTCTGCTTCTATTTGGGATCAATGGGCGAGGGCGTAGAGCGTTCAGATAAGTTTCAGATAGAGCGTATTCGGGTTAAAAATACAACGATTATGCCACCTATAGAGGCATCCAACGAATTGGAGGAACTTCGGAAGTCTTTCGCTGCTACAGTACGTAGAAAGTAAGCGAAACTATTCATTAATGACTTAAAGCATTGTAATAGATGCCAATATACTAATCCAGGTATTCATTGCAGGTCCGACCAGCTCACATCTTATGATTTTGCTCTAGAGACGCTTCAATATCTAAGAAAAGTCATCATTTATGAGAAGTATGAGACAATCGTGTAAGTTGCGAAACCTATTAGACCTACATGATTTTGGCCCATCCAAGCTATTTTATATCGCTGGAACCGAAGTAGTAGCAGTAACACTAACAACTGCCAATTTGTGTTTACTTGGTTATAAGATCCCTCAACTATCATTGTAGCGATAGCTAGATAAATAAATAAAAAATATTCAATGCATTTGAAAGCGATAGTAACTTAAATGTTAACGAGCGGTCCTTTCGGTAAAGTATCAAAACTTCGTGCAGTAAAAATGTTTGCCCTAATTTTAAGGTCCACCTAAAATATGTGAAGTGACGGAAACTAGCAGTGAGTAAAAGGCGCTAAACCAATTATAATCTTTTGTTTCTTCAGTTTTTAGGCAGGTTTCGTCCTGGAACGTGGCTCTTGTTCTATAAGATGCTCTGAGTGACTACGCCCTTGTCGTTGAAACCTGCAGAATGTACTCAGCAGCGGCTTGAACCTGTTTGGTAAAGATGGTAAAGAGACCAGAATATTCAAGTTTGAGGTCTCTTCGAGTGATATAAAATTGAAACTGGGCTGGCATCATGCCGTTTTGCTCCATAGCAACTGTTGACATACTTCGAATTTCCCGATACACGCACTGCCCAAGGGAACATGGTGTCCCGAGTTTTTTCAACGAATGAAAATAAGGGACGCCGTTGCTCACACCGGGGAATTCAATATGAAGTGGGCCGGCCACATAATGCGATATTGTGATGACTGTAGGAGTCGGGCGGTTACTGACAGTATCTCTCGGGTCGTCAAATGAACAACAGGACGGTGAAGGTGAGCTGGACTACATCAGCCCACTGCGGCGCCTGCTCGAGCAATTCGATGTTCAACAACGGGACGGTGGTGCAGGTGATACAGGTGATTATCGGAATAAGGCGTTCATGCCTGGGATTTGTCGTCGGTTTTTGAAAGCCCTTCTCTTTACTTGCTATTTTACGCACTTCGTTCAAGAGCTGACCTTTCAATACTATTGGTGGCGTTCTGTAAAGAAACGTAAAACATAGGGGCCACCACTATACGCATTTTTTATCTTGCTTCGAATTTTTTTTTGCAAATGCTTGTGATTTTGTCGAACACGAGGTCAAATCTCATCGACATGTTTAGAGACTTGATTGCTGTATTAACTTCACACGGCCGATGGCTAAGCGGAATGGAACCTTCGGAGCTAGTGATTCGGAACGTGGTCATGATGGTGGCGAAGCTAGCTCGCGACGAAAGTGTTAGGCTTATAACAGGTTCTTTTTCATTTTCTGTTCCATGCAACAGTAAGCTTGCTAAAAGCTTTTCTCGTGCTTTCGATCTTATCTCCCATTACCGTATTCGACACTGCTGGTTTACTTTGTTTCTTTTTATGTCTCCAATTTCTCTCGAGCCATAGAAAATTAAGTGACATCGTCGCGCTTTAGGCGAGAAAATTCCACCACTCGTTGCCACTAGGTGGGCATTACAAGGCTAGGTGTCCCTAAATATCAGACAAAACTAGGAAGCGCTGGTCAACCTCCATTATAAGCGCTCTGAGCGAATGGAAGAAAAAGCTGTCCTTCTGGCGGTGACTTGTTGAACGAAAAAAAAAGGAAAAAAAACGACCGTTAAGACGTTACTGTGGTTGTAGTTGGGATGTGGTCTACGAGATGGCGGATAATATGGGTGATCGTGACCCGTTCGGTTGTCAGAAAGTCCCTCTTTTTTCTTGATTAGTTCACTCGTTCTTCATACAAGTGTTCATATTGGTGGAGAATACGCTAGATCGAGTTCCTCATGGCATACGTTTCCTTTTCTCAATATTACCTCCAAAAAGAGCAGGACAAGCCTATTTTCCGCTTTCCTGCCATTTAGGCTTTTTGTATTTATTTAATGCGAACGAAATCAACAGCGCGTCGAAATTAGGGCACGTATTGAATAAAATTATGCTATCAGGGTTTTTGAGGGAAGGGCGCTTCCAAAGTACTGCGACCGCTTGCTTTTTGGGACCTGTTCTCTGAAGATTGTTCGTTAACAATGCTCTAAGTGTGGAGTTCTATTAGTCTTGGCGTATCATTTTTCTTGGCGATCTGTTCAAGGGGTGGCGAAAGGCCTGAGACGTCAAACACTCCATGGTAACCTTGGAAGAACTTGCCACACCTGAGTTTCATAAATTAAGTTGCCTAATGTATTGATGACATAATGTTTATACTTCTGTTGTCCTCGAATATTGCCTATAAAAAGTTGCTTATTCGATCCTCCAACTGACAACTTGTTTAAGGGGAACCTGTGTCTGCATTCGATTCTCTGAATAAGTTATGGATAAAGACAGAAGATAACAGCGGTGCCGCCAGTGGCAAGAAGCTCAAAAAAGGGCTTATACAAGCGGTAAATGAGGTAATCCTTGTCTTTTTCCTCATGATCATCTATCTTTCAATTCATTCACACATAATTTTTGATGTATTTATTTTCTTGTGGTCAATAAACACTTGAACAGGTCGTGTCTGAGATGTCTCTCTGTTGTGAAAACATTGCTGCTCGAGCTGGTGAGCTCGTAAATCCCAATGACGTATTAATAGTGCACAATCTCAGTGGATCACCCACGTTGGCCGCTTTTCTTGCTGCAGCTCGAGCTATTCGAAAACACCGGGTGAGCTTGATGTCACCTTTTGTACTGCTGGCTATCTCAGTTGCATTAAAATTCATGTGACCTTGAGGCCGCAAGATCACAGATCTGCATTGTCGATGTATCTATAGAAGTAATTTTAGGTACTGAGTGTAGTGCACTCGAGCGAATTTGATTCTACGCCTGAGTTTGCAACTCCTATACAATTATACGACGTTGGCAGCAAAATGTGTGAAGTAACCAAGGTGAACCCTTGTTAAATTAATTGTCTATTCTGAATCTATAGAATTTGCGTATTGCAAATTATCCCGCTCAGTATGTCTTTAAGACTACGGCTACATCACTCGTATAACTAAACTTGGCCTTCATGTGAACTCCTGGTGTGCCACATTATCTCTTCTAACTTAAGCCTCATTTTCACATGTATTGAAGTACGCCTAGTTCAAATACCGGCGGGAATGCGTAACGCAGAACTAAAAGGAGTACATCTGTAGGAGGTTCCGTTATTCCACACCGATGATTCTATACTAAACTGATGAAATTTAGATCTTTTTGGATCTGGAAGCAGTCTTTTTTTATCACCTTTCTGCTCAACCTTCTTTGGGTGGTTCTGCTTCGTATACTCCTTAATTGGCCTCCCAGTTAGCAAAATGAAGGCATCAAGGCACCGCTCGACAAGTTTGCGAGAGCGATAGCATTACAGTAGTGGCAGAGCAAATGTTGTACAACCAGAGGCACTCACTCGGACGAGTACTTTCTTTCTGCACTTTTGACGAATATTTTACTATCTCAAGGCCATATTGTTCAACTGTTTTGAAAGTGAGAGGGCCTTGACACGTACGAAACGAAATGTACTTCGAACGAGACTTTTTAGTGGTTCTGATCATCTTTACTGTATCATATGTGCTGTGTTTGTTTGATAATGCCCAATGCAGCATGCTCATCAGCCGGTACCCAATTTAGGTAGTTCTACCTGGCGCTGCTGTATTCCCAGATGGGTCATGCCTTGTTCCTGCCGGTGGTCTATCAACCTGTCTTTCGGCACAGCGGCATTCTGTTCCTGTATATGTACTTGCTGCTTTCTACAAGGTTTGATTTATTATTTTTTTCCTGGCTTTACTCAATGGGTGCTGACGATTTCCTCAGAATGATCCATTTACCTGTATCAAACACTCCGCATCTTCTACCTTTCCACTGTAGAATACAATTCTCATTTCAATCAGTTTCTCTATTTTTTTGGTACAAAGTACATAGATTAGGCAATACGGTAAAATTTAAGGTGATTTTTCACTGCTGGAGCATACAATTCATTCATGTTCAGCTCTATTACCTAAGAGCACTGATCACTAAATGCTGTTTCATTCAGATCACACCATTCTTTGTTCCCGATCCGATGATGGTAAATCCAAGCAAGGCACCCGGCGTTTCCTTCAAACATTCCGCTTCGTTTTGTGGCCTGGTGGAAATTCCTCGACTAACATTTGACCATATCCCAGCATCACTTGTCACACTCTATGTCTCTAATTCAGCATGTATTCTACCGTCCCACGTATACAGGTACAGCCTTTCAATTATTTAAAGGATTTTGCAGTGGACGTTATTTTGGACAGAAGAATTTTTGACCTAACTTAGGCTTACTGGAGCAATGATCTATTCAACTTATTTGCCAATGATTCTAGGTTAATCGGAGACTACTATCACCCTGAAGACGTGGCTGAGTGCTGATTAACCGAAGTTTCACGGAATCCGACCTGCTCAACATCATCTTTGTTTTTGTTGTTGTTACTGTTTAAAATTCTATTAATTATTAAGAGAGCATACCAAATGTTCTGTCTTCATTTTAATTGTCCGCGAACAGGCAGCTGGGTTTTTCTGGTGCTGAGGTGACTGACTAAGGAATTCCCTCTCCTTCCGTTTATGCAGTATGCAGAGTTCAAGGAAAAACGAATCCCAGCGACTGCAGCTTTTTCTTTTCTATACCTAGTTTTTATCTTTTATTAGGTTGGAACGAAAGTCCTGCGACACAATGAAGGTCTTCTTCAAATCATTTCTGAAATTTTCCAGCCAATCAATTTTCGGAAATATATTTACCAAAGAGGTCAACAACCTTCTTTTATCCTTTGAGTAAATCACTGATGCCTTTATCCAGAGTGTGAGGAAGCTGTGACTCAAAGAAGTAATTGACTGCCGTTTTCAGATCACATTAAGTTACGAATTTTTTTCAACAACGGGATGCTCAAGGAGGCGGAGCGTATAGTAGGTGAAAGGGGCAACACTTGGGGATTACGACTGAT